GAGGGGGGGGAGGGGGGGAGGGGTGAGGGGAATCGACTCACGTTCATAAGCTCAATTTTGGAAAGATCACTGGCGAATTTTTCCACCTGGTTCAGCAGTTCGCTCTTCTCCTTTTCCAGCCTGAAAATGTAAGAAAATGTTAGTAAATAGCCAACAGCTTGTTTGCAATGAAAAAAGAGGTTCAACAGGCAGAATATCGGACCCGTTAATGACCGTAACAAAAAGTATATCAAAAGTGAAAATTACTACTTTATGCTAATCAACCTTCTAAAACGCATACCAAACTATAAATGATTACTAGTGAAATGCGTATGAAAAACACGGCGGATTGGTTGCTGCATCTAGAAGAATTTGACCAACTCCAACAGGTACATATAAGGAGATATATAGTAAACGGAAATCCGAATCACCTTTAAATGACTATCAATAAGGGGTGTGCGATAGACTTACCTCCACGTGGCGCACCCTGGGCAACGTATATTCACACGGCAAAAAGTCTATTAACCGGAAGTTGACTTCTGACTTCAAACTACCATGACCCCATTGTATGTCATATTCGACTACTACCACAGTACTCACCTCATCTTTTTTTACCTTTGTGACTGTCTCTTTTATATCTTTGAAACACTCTTCCGTCCCCCCCCCCTTCTCGACTTTTTTCCCTATGATGTTCCTCCTCTACTCTGTGAAGCCTGAAGTCAACTAAAGAGCTAATGATAACTATCAAAACGCCTGCCATTTGGTATAAATCTTTGCCTAGCGGGATCCAAAGTAGATCATCCATTAAATCCTTCTAGCTCTCGCCTTAGTTTTAGGCCATGGATCAGAAAGGGCTTGGGGAATGAGGTCAAGTCCTTTAATGTCAAATCAACGTCTGTATTCTACTTTGACCTTACCGGAAGGAAAGAAGTCACGTAAAGGAACGCAGAAAATTAAAACAGCTAACGCAGTGACGTGAGGTCACGACTTTGATTGCCATTCTATGCAGTTGTATGTACTTACTTGGACTTGATTCGTCGAAAATCGTCGAGTTCGTGGTTTTGCTCCTCAATCGAGGTTTGGTAGCGTTTGCGTAACGATGCGGCGTCCTCTTCTTGAGTGTGCCGTAGCAAATCTCGCTCCTTTTGAACCATTGCAAGTTCCATCTCCTTTCTTCGAATAGTATCCATCTGTCCAAATACAAAAGAAGATCGCTAATTCATTAAGGGGGAAGAGATATATGCCATCATTGGGTTGAATGGAAGGATGACCTAGATCACAGTTGAATGAATCCTTAGATATATTATTGCCATGAGCATTGTAAAGTATTTTTGAGAATGAAATGGTGATTGGTGGGTGATTTCGCGTTGCAAAATAATAGCCACTTATACTTTCCCATCAGAAAAAAGTGACTTAAAACAAATTTACCCAACTTTTAAAATGCATTAAAGACCCGTCAGTAAGGTTTCTCATTATTTTAAACCTGTGATTTACGCACTCACTGGTGCATGAGATTCGAAAACTCAGATTGGATCTTTTGAATTATGGGTTCCCAGAAAAATGAAGGAGGGGGAGAGGGAGGTTCGCCTCATTATATTAACCCTTCATTTAATCCACTGCAAAAGAGTCACAATTGGGCGTGAATCTGCTGATGTATAAAACCCCCCAAATTACTCCAGACAGAGATCTCAAAAAGGGCTAAAGATAAACTAAACTTAAAAGTTAAAATCCGATAATAGGAAAAGACTTTATAATAATCAATCACAAGAGGGCTGAGTTTCGCATTAATCAACTAACAATAAAACTGTAAGGTAAAAAGTTACACTCAATTTAATTAGAAGTCAAGATATGACTTACTTCTCGAAGGAAGAAAAAAGCTAAACGAGTTTTGCAAAACCGACAGACTAATTTATCGATGAGAATGACTTACGTGCTGCGAAATGGTTTCATTGGCTTCCTCGAGACGTTCTTGGAGCATTTCAATCTCCAGTGCCAAATCGCAGTTGTCTCTTTGACTCTATGAGGAGAAGAATTAAAAGCAACCAAAGAGCATTAACGCGATATCCCCCGCACAGAGAGATTAATGCATCATGTAAGTACTGGTATAATTAGGAAGCATACCTTAGTGAGAACAATGCGTTCATCCTGTAGTCGCTCCTCTAGTTCTGCTACTCTTGCCTAAAAGGATAATATTAACAGGTTGATTCTATCTTGACGTTAAGTGCATTTTTTGTTCCTCACACATACCCCACCCCACCCCGCTCCTCTTCCTTCACTCCTCCTATTAAATTAGACCATTACATCGGGTAATTTCTGCTCATGTATACGAGATTGTATCTCACATACACTTCCCATTGTTACAGAAAGGGAGCAAGAGAGAGAGAGAGAGAGATGGAGTTTGCGAAGAACCCAAAATAATTAAGGTAGTTAGGAAAGGAAATAACTATAATTAACAGGTAAATGCATGCTGTTCCTCAATTTATAACCAGGAAGTTGTCCCCTATTAAGACACGCTTTTACATCTGTGAAAAATGATTGATTAATGATAGGTCTTACTCACGCTCCTTTAGAGACTTATTTGCTAATTTGCTCACTTCCCTTCTGACTTGACAGAAATGAAATTGTTAAGAAATTTATTTATGACAGGGCTTCAATAGTTATGTTTGAACCGTGACAGATTAATTGAGAAAGTAAAGTCAGAAATAAGCTAACCTCAAGTCGAGATTCCGATGGTGAACTAGGGCGGAAGATAGTGTGGGACATGGCTACAATACTAGCCTCTGGTTCGCTTATTTGAATAGTGGCCATTCTGTCGTTTTTAACTCCAGTAGTAAGTTAAGTAATATTTTCCTTGAGTTTTACGCGAAAAGACCAATGCGAAAGCTACGTTGGCTGAGTTTTCGAAACGGGAGAGATAACTGTGTAGAGTTAAAGTGGTCGACCTGAAGTTTCTGCTGCAGGACGTATGCTGCTTCCACCAAAGTGTGTGTGTGTGTGTGTGAGCGTGTGATGTATGGTGTCTAGTCTCTATTCCCCTTTGCCGTAGCTACTGTGCTTCTGCAGTAGCAAATTCACCGTCTTTGCCTAGGTGCGAACGTGGTTGTGTTCGGGTCGATTCTCCCAAGTGTGCACACGCGCCTATCCTTATTGGTCAATTCGTTGCTACACACACACATACACACATACATGTATTCATGTTTCTGAGTGTACATAGATACTAACAGGATGTTTGATAGACCTTAGGGAGTAATGAGTGCTCTTTTTACATTACTCAATATTAAATTAGCAGCCAGAGATGGAGCTTCGGGAGTCATTCAAAATATGATCTTTGGACTCCCGTTGCATACTTTTAGTTTTTTCTGTGGGACTAGTCTAATACTTCATATTCTAACACTGCAATATTCGAACTTCACCAGTTCCCCCCTTATCCTTGCTAATTTCCAACTGTTAGAGTATAGAGCGAATTATTTAAATCCGTACGTTTATTCAACCGCTATGGATAATATTTTTAGGCTAACAGATAGAGCTAAATTAAAACTAATTTATAGTGAATTATGCAATTGGCATTAAAATTCGATGCTGCGGGCGAGGTTATATTCTGCTTGATCAATGCACTCGTTTCTACCCAACCCATTTATAGTTAATGGGATGGAAATGGATCTTACTTATCAAATTGTACCATTGCCGATCATACTGTTGCCGTAAATCGGTTCACTGGGCCTACCTGCTCCATCGACTGTTCCCGTATTATGGGCTAATTTATATGCCTGAACGCGTGAACTATTAGGCGGACATTTCGCTCAGTAGTAGTAGTAGTTGTAGTTCTGCTATTTGTCGTATGCTGAAAATGCAAAGACTGGATTTCAGGTGATATTTAAAAACAAACAAACAAAAAATGCACTTACCGCCTGAAAAGGGATATGAATGTTTGGATGTTGAGCGCTCAATCTTGAAAAAAAGATATTCGAGGAATTACCGATCTGAGATTTTTTTAGCAAGAATGGCAATAGGAGCATCTCTACCATATTTTTTCCTTATTTATTTGCTTTTTATTTTGGCCATTAGGGAAGTGCAAAAAAAATGGACAATTCGTACAACGGTATAGTAATGGCCAGCGAGGGTCAGAGAAATGTGGTGCATTAAATCAGGTTAAGGGGGGGGGGGTCATATTTAATCCAAAGCGTTGAGAGGTCCATTTACTATAAGTAGTATGGTCGCTTCACAGTATTCATTTTTTCATATTTGATTATTTGGCACCTACGTTCATAATTGAACATAAATTAATGAAGTACAGAGGATCTTTGCATGGATTGATTCACCTCTGGGATGCATCTTGCCAGCTCAATTTATTAATATCTGGTTACGGCAGAAGTTAATTATTTATTCATTTTAAATAGCAGGCTTCATGATAGTTATCATTAGTCCATGAGTTGACTTCGGGTTTCACAGAAGGGAGGAACAGACAAGCCCACAAAAGTGGAGAGAGGGAACAGGAGAGTGATTCACAGAAGCAAAAGAGAGACAGACACAAAGGTAGAGGAAACAGAAAGGTGAGTACTGTAGAAGTGGTGGAACAGGACATGCAGTCTGATCATGGTGGCTTGAAGTAGGTGGATAATAGCGGCAAGGATTTATTTTACTTATTGTTACAATTGGCATTAAAATCCTATCTAAAATAGTAATGTGCACTCATTTAAGACATGTTAATAAGGAATTAGTTCCCAAGGCCATCTTAGAGAGTTATTAATACCTGACTGTTTTGCTGCCTGAGTTAATGTTTTAGACGTTATGCAAGAATCCGATCTTATTGTCAGGCCTGTAGCGGTCCTTCGACCAAAACATCTATGATGACCCAAGTGATTTCCAGGCAATACACCCAATACTCATGATCCAAAAATATTGCAACCTGCCTTCCTTTCCATTAGGAAATAAGGCATTTAAAACACAACACACACTCGAGTGGAGTCGGTGTCGGTAAATCGATCTTCAACCTTTTCTTTGAAAATTAAACGTGACCATGAAAATTTTAATCGAAATTATTGACCTCCCTCGTTCACAAGATGGTGATTAAGATCACCATTTGGACTTGCTGCAAATACCATATATTTGGAAACTAGTGCTTTTTATGGCAAATTGGCTTTTCAAGTCAATGCATCAACCCTTACGCCTTCTGTCATGAGGTTTGGCGCTTGTTGTCTTAAGTGTATTGGCCAGTATCCCAGAGTTCGGTTCTTCAGTAGTATCTTCATTATTCAAGTTTCATTTAATGTAAATGACAACGTTTTAATTGCACAACTGCACAATCTGACCGTAATTGATATTTAAAAGGAGTCATCAGTAGCGCTGTAAGGCGAAATCTGCTGGAGAAGCCGTTATGAGATGGCGGCCAAAAACAGCAAACGACGGTTATAAATGTATGGCACAGAGGATTCGAGAGAGGAATAAGGAGAAGAGAGTCAGGAGGGTGGGGCAGGAAAGCGTAAAAGCCCTTCTATTCGTTTGCAACAGGAGCCTCTTTTAAGTACCATAGATAAGGGGTATCATAAACTGATGGAATAGTTGTGAAAATCGCTGATCATGGAATCCAAAAAACCCTTGCAGTAACAATTCAAGGACCTTTAGTTTAGGTTTGTTATACTTGACGCATAGATGGAGAACTTGAGATTGCAGTGGGGTCAAAACTTCCGCGCTACGGTCACGTCGAAATAATTGGTGGCGGAATTAGTAAAGACCTAGATAGAATCTTTGGAATGCATCAGGATTCGTCCTTCATACCATTTTCACATACTTTTAATAATCCATCCTAATGCCAGTTATTTATATTCACTCTCCTTTGTGTTCACGCAAGGTTTGGACCTATCCGGGATACAAAAGGAGAAAGTGGAGTCCTTCACTCTAAACAACCGCGAATATACTTTTCCTGTGTGATGAAAGTATCCTCTGCCAAGCGAGAGTGCTGGACAATTTCAATAAGCTATGATTTTCTGCCTTTTTGTTCTGGAAAATCCGACTCTAGTGAAGTTGAAGTTTTAACTTTTTTTAAGCTTAACTGGAATAATTTTGTGTTCACTTTTCCACCCAAAAGCTAAATGAATCGTGGCTACACAATTAAAAAATTAACCCCGCACATTTACCCTAATTTAAACGGCATTTCATAGGATATAATGGTACACAAATGTTGCATAGGTGAACGAGACATCTGAGTGTTATTAGAAAAGCAAAGAATAAGTTGCCTCGTACATTTAGACGAGACGGTTTTATAGGGTAAAACCCGGTTAATGGACCAAAAGTGGCATGAGGTAGAAAGAAATATTTTTGGTGTCTGGAGTTGAATTTAGTCAAATTTGTCTCTGCCAAACTGTATTCCGATTACGGGGTGCGCGACAGACTTACCTTCACGTGGTGTACACTGGGCAACGCATAGTCATACGGCAAAAATGTCTATAAACTGGCAGTTGACTTCTGAATTCATACTACCATGACCCAAATGTATGTCATATTCGATCACTTCCATAGTAATCACCTCACCTTTTTCTCTTTCACTTCTGTGAATCACTCTTCTGTTCCCACAGGCCCCTCCACTTGACTTTTCGTGACTTTAATGTCCCTCACCTCTGTGAAACCCGAATTCAACTAAAGGGCTAATGATAACTATCATAAAGCTTGCCGTTTGATATAAATAAATATTTCGATTACCATTCTCTGATGTACACGTCTTGGAACGAGGTTGGTTCCTTGTTTATTTATTTCAAGCTAACCAATAACCAGTCAATACTTCAGTTAAGCTGGTGTATTGACAGGATATTTTCTTAATAAAATAAATAAAACGATAATCCCCTGGACGGGTCACTGGAACCGAAGCGACTATGAGGGTTGGCCAGAATAGGTGAAATATGCACTACTTAGGTAAAAATTTTGAAAAATCCTCCACTAGGCTATTTTTGTATAAATAACTATTTCTATTACCATTGGCAAATTTTTTATTAAAATTTAGTGAAATTCGACGATACTACGAATCTGCACGAGACCTTCCTGCTTCCAATTGCTAAAACAGAAATAATTTTTGGGAGGAAACTCAATTCATGTCATTTCATTTAATGTAGTTAGATAAAAATTTATTTCAAATGGCAGGTGTTTTGATAGCTATCATTAGCCCTTTAGATGACTTCAAACTTTACAGAGGGGAGAAGCATCAAAGTGAGAAAAATTCAAGTGGGGGGGGGGGGGCCCGAAGNAAGGGGGGGGGGGGGGGACCGAAGAGTGATTTGCCGATGTAAAAGAGACAGACACAATGATAGAGAGTGGGGTAGGATGAGTACCGTAGAGTAGTAGACTATGACATGCAGTGGGGTCATGGTAGTTAGAAGTCAGAAGCCAACTGCCGAATAATAGACTTTTTGTCATATGAGTATACGTTGCCCAGGGTGCACCACGTGAAGGTAAGTCTATCGCACACCCCAGTCAGCTACTAATGTTCCCGAAAATTTCATTTTCCGCATAACAGATTTGATTCTTTTGGAACTGTTTTAATCTGCTGGCTCAGTCCATTAAATGGAATGTTCTTTTCTTCTTGGACGACCTATTTTTAGCCCACCTATTTGTGGGGCCTATTAAACATTTTAAATGCAAAACATAATTTCTCCAGCTTAAGAGATGAATGCAAATCACCCAGTGGCAAAATCTGGCATTTATCATTCTATTATTCCGTTAATTTCCGATTTCCTAATTAACAAAGACTATCCCTAAAATAAAGGTAATGTGAAACAACGTACTACCAAATCGGTTCTTCAAAATTTGATAATTTTACA